CCCCGACGCCCCTCCCCGGGGGGAAGTCGCAGCAGCAGCTCCGCGCCGGCGTGGGCGGCTGTGCGGTCCTCCGGAGCCGCTCCTCGGGGTAGGGACCCCGACCCCCGGGCCGAGGACCTTCTTGCCAAACGTGACTTTCCATTCCCTAACGAGGACTGCATTTAGGAGGAAGGTTGAGGGTCACAGGCACACGTTGAAGTAAGCTCTTGCGGATTTTAAAGCGACCCACTGCAGTTCCCGTGATGCGGTTACAGCCCTCCGACCGGGAGATTCCAGCGCCTGAAAGGGCATCTTACGACTTAGGAAAGCAGAACTTAACCTGATTTGCCCGCTCAACTAACCAGGTTAATTAAAAGGCTGATAAGACGGTGCCTATAAAGCATATCAGATGTTGTGGGAGGCTGCTATGTTTTCTTCCAGCAACTCTTCTGCAGCCCGGCTTGCTCTGTTAATAAAAAGGGAGAAAATGCTAAAAGCTGGAGAAAGTGCCCAGTAAGCTGGTTAAATATAGGCTAATGGTAGAGAATGTCCCTAGAATTGACAGGACAGAAAAAGCAAGATGATGTGTCCTGTATGCTTAGTGCTTTGACCCAGCAGAACTCAGCACATAAACTACATTGTAACCTTCGTATTAGGGAACATTTGTGCTAACTCAGAAGCCGGTCAGGTACCCTTGAAACTTCAGACTTCTCCTGGCTCTTTCTTGTAACTGCACTTGTGCTCTTGGCGGTGGTGGTAGGGTGGTAATTTGGAATTTAGGTGGTAAATGTGATCGCTCAGAACTGGCAGTTCAAGGGTCAGGGCAGCCAGGATCAAGTTGGATCAGCAGGCCGGGAACTTCACTGTATCCAAAGAAATCCCTGTTGGAGAGAAATGCTTAGAAAAACTACTTTAGATCTGTTATTGTTATAGTTCTTTAAATGACGTCTAGTTGGCTTAAAGTAAGTTGCAAACCATAAAATATGTACCCGGCATCTCCGTTCATTTTCCTGCGTAGCACTTACCTCTACAATATACCCTGTGTTTTACGCATTTAGCTTGTGGGTCTTTCCCAACCGCAGCACAAGCTCAGTGAGGCCAGAGACTTTTCTTTTGTTCTGTTCTGTGCTGGGCCCCTCACACCTAGTGGCTTAGTAAATGTGTTGAATGACTGCCTGCCTGCCTACCTGCCTGCTTTTCCACCACAGCACATGGGCATTGGAGACTTGGCCCCGTTCCATTCCCATGTTAGCCACGTGTGTATATGATTTTGAAGGGTGGACCCAGCTGAAGACTGCTTCCTGCGGCCAGCGCTTACTTGTATTAGCTGTGAGTTGTTGGAAGATGACTTAGTTTGCTTTCTACTCCTCGTCTGACAGACTGATGAAGGGTGAAATGTGTCTTCATCTCTCTTCATCTTGGAGCAGCCTGTGAAGAAGTGTGTAATAGTGTTTTGAACACTAGGCCCGCATACAGGTCTACGAAAGCAGTAATGCCTGCTGGCTAGGCAGGACCCTCGCATGGTCTGGTTCTGTTACTTTCTAAGGAAAACTGGAGCTTGGTGGCCATTCATGATCTGTGTTATAAGGTGACTCACTAGTTCTTAATGGCTGAACAAGGTAGGGTTAGACAGCAAGTGTTCGATGCCTCATCTCCTGCTCTTGCCGAACCAAGTTACAGCCTTACTTGTATGACTGTTGTGTGTAAACCTACTGCTTGATGGCTTTATAGTATGTTATAATTTAAATGCATATCAGGCACTTTCACATACTGTCTCATTTTCGTGTTCAGACATTTTGTGCAGTTGATAGGGCAGCTGTGTTTAATATTTTGCCAATACACATGAATCAATCAATTTTTTAATTCATTGACCGATAGATCACTTTATTTGGCCATTGAAGTGGTAGAGTTTTTTTGTGGTTCTTTAAAGTTACCAATTTCAGGTCTGTTTTAAAGAAGTTTGAATTCTTTATCACTACCTGAAACAAACTGTAGAAATTCTTAATACCAATAACTGGGAACTTTACAATGTATCTGTTTTATTCCAGTGGCATTTTAGAAAGGAAATGAATTTGTATATCCGAGAACTTGGTGTTTTTTACTGTTTCTTTTTGAAAAAACATTTAGAGATGACCAAGAGATAAATTCAATATTCAAAAGCTTGGTTGTCCCTGAAGTTTTGTAAAAACCAGTGATTTGCCAAATATCCTTAGCCTAAGTGTTGTAACTGTCACAGAGGTTTGCAGCTGTATAGTTAGAAACCTTGTCTATATTGCTTCCTATATGCTCCACATAGGGAGCCAACCTAACTTGATCGCACTAGAATTAAAGTCACTCACTTGACATTTCCTGACGTAATTGCTCTCATCTTTTTCCACTGTTTTTTTTTTTTTTTTGGTCTAGTGTTTGTTTTTACTCCCAACAGCCTTAATTTGCAATGATGCAACTTTAGAAAGACTGTCAGTATGAAAGGGAAAAGCGGAGAAACTTAACTGCCACAACAAGACCTTCCTGATGAGCTCCAGGGCATCAGATAGTTCAGGCTGTGTAGAATGTGTGCCCTGCAGCCTCAGAGTACAGATGCTCCTGGAGGGCAGGCGGGACCTCGCAGGGTCTCTCTGGCTCTGGAAGTGGGATGCTACTTTCTCAGCATGCCCTTCCCAGCTTCTCCTTATTCTGATACCTGCATGGTATTTTTTCCTTCGGCTTGTTAGGAAAACTGCACATAGCCAAGCCCCTTCAAAGTGGTGAGACTGAGCTGACAGATAAAATGACCCACAGTCTTCTGCTTCTCAGCAACCCTGAGTCCTTCAGGGAAAGGCTCCCTGAGGCGTACTGGAAATTTCTCTTCTTGCAGAGCTTGCTTTGGTTTGTGTCGTAGGCTCTTCTCATGCTGGCCCAGTCCCATTGATGAGTTCAGACCCCTTCTCCAGTGGGCTGTGGTTTTTGGGAAGTGATGTGTGTGAAAAGAATTTGAAATTGAGTCTGTGTACAGTGACCCTTTAATGACTTTGTGCAGGTTCCTGGTCCTGCATTCACTTCTGAGCATTTAGGGTTTTCCAGGCACCTACAGCAATACTAGTTTTAGTTTTCAGGCCTAGATAGCGAAGACAGAGTCCCAAGATTTTGGGATCTTGTGATGGGTCAACTAACAACGTTAGTGGGTTTCTTTTTTTCTTTTTGTTTTTTAAGAGAAAACTGATCCAGTCATGGTGGAGTGAGACACTGGGCCTCAAATTCAGTCTAGACCAGTGGTGGTGAACCTATGGGACACGTTGTTTTTCTTTTTCGACAAGAGATGTTAATGTATGAGTTGTTGTTTCTAAACTAGAACGTCAGTATTCAGGTTTAATTGCAGTGTTGGCGCTTTGCGATAAGCAAGTGGGTTTTGGATTGCAGTTTGGGCACTCGGTCTCTGAAAGGCTCGCCATCACTGGCCTAAACCATCTTGAACAATTTTTCTGGAACGTCCTCTCCTCCTCGGTGAAGTGCTGTTGGTTGTGCCACTTGAAGTCTAAATTGTGTCCTTCTCGGCTATTACTGTTTTGCTTCATGTGCATGTGTTGTGGGGAGTCTCCTTGCAGTTTTATGGCTTTATTGTCTCATTTAAATTTTCATCACACATTGATGTTGAAACGTTTCCCTTCCCCCTGCATGCAGAACTTTGTTGGGTGTTCTGTTGTATAAATCTGGTCCTATAGCACGTTGTTGTAACGAGCATTTATTTCATGCTCCTAATCTGGGTATGTTCCAAGGCCTAATTATTGATGATACAGTTTTGTCATTTAAATCTAAAATTTGACTCATAAAAAGAATTAAGATGCATTATGTGCATGTACCAGCTCTCCACAATGCGTATAATCATTATGTATTACAGACATGTACTGACCAAATTTTTTGAAAAGAAAAAACTTGACTCATGGATGATGCTGATGAAGCTACCGAGGGAGACTAATACGGTCTCTGTTGGTCCACATTTCACAGCGGCATGGAAATGTCATCATCCATTTTATGGTATCTGAAATTGGTCATATAGCTTCATGTCACAGGGCAGTAAAGTCCATTAGTGTTGTCTGCTGCGTTTGGAGTGCGCTAGTTCTCTCTTCCTGATTAATTTAATTGAAGAACTGAGCCTCCTCTTACCAGAATTTTTGCTTCTCTTTCAGTGCGGAGAACCCATTGTCGTGGTAGCACTTTGTGCTGTATTCCCCAGTGGTGAAGAAAGTCTCCGGGGACGCAGAGTGATTCAGAGTAGTGCTTGTTTATTTTGCTTTCCTCGTGTTGTTTTCCGTCTTCTCTTCCTTTTGCTGTGCTCTGAGTTTGTGGTTTTTCATATCTGTTGTGGCTCCTGAGTCCTTGTCGTAAGGCTTTTGAGTAGTGATTGTAGCCTGCTAACTTCCTTAGTGTTGAGTTCTTCGTGTTCAGTTGGAAGCTCCAGGTTCTGAGACGTATGAACCCCGTCCATTCTGTAAACCAAGTTGACTGTACTCATCGCTTGTCAGAGTCTTACGTTGAGGGGAAATAAGTTGAGCCCGATACCTTCTAATGGATCTAGGCCTTTTGTTTTTATCTACCTATTATAAGGCTTCCCTACAACTGCTGAAAAGATTAAATCTGTCCTGAAGCTCTTACAGCAAAATAGTGTAAAATGATTCTCTCTCCCTCTCGCCCTGTCTCCTCTCTCTCTCTCTTTCTGTCCTCTGTTCCCTGTTCTCTCTCCTCTTCTGTATTTG